AGTTTTTCGGATCTTCTGACATTACCGAGGACATTATAAATATATATAGCTCTTAAAAGGACCGACGGTCTCAAATATGACTAGCATAGTACATGCGTATGTGTTTATGTATTAACATTAACTTGAATAACATTCAAGAAATATTAGCTGTTGGTCGAACACCTTGCGTAATGCTAATGCCGGCGGTATTGTAACTTTTAAGCTTTATAACTCGAAAAATACTTAATAAAAATGAACTTCATTACAGTGTTTTGAAAAGCTTGCTATCAGCTATTAGACTCCGGAATTAAAAATATGGTGTTCCATTTTAAAAAATCGATGTGACCTTATCGACGCTACCCAAGGTCAAATCAATGGTACCTTCTTATGTCCCTCTCCGAACCATACAACTTTTGTTTGAAACATTTTTCCGTATCTACCATAGTTTTCGAGAAATCTTAATGCATTATTTAAAATGGGACACCCTGTATACTTGCCAATATGCCGGAAAGGGTTAAAATAATCCTCAACAATTAAATTATGAATATTATTAAATGTTATTTTAGTTGCTAATATAAATAAGTTACAGTTTCATTTTTTCTATGTTTATTGCGAGTTTATCACTCTTTTCGGAGAAACCTCTTCAAGAGATACATAAAACCATGAGATTTTTCACTTTTGCGAAAACTTCTTTTATCGCTCATGTAAATCCGTAACTCTTTTCGACAAGAAACCGTGATTCGTTCTGAGATACAACCTTGGGCGAAAGAAAAAGACATTGTGTGATAGAAATTTCTTGCTCCAGTTGAAGTTTCTTTTCTATAATTGCAACTGTATGTAAAAGCGCGTCGAGTACAAGACGGCGGATAGAACAACAAGGGGGAGCACGATCGTGAGAAAGATGAAAAAGGATATAATGGAGGAGCGCGTGGAGGTAGAAGGAAAACAAAAAGAAAAAAAAAGAAATCTTTCTTACTATCTATATAGAGTGAGGAATCGCGTGTAATAAATAGCTTGAATGTCTGAGAGCCGTACGAGAGGCAACTCATTATATTCTCGTCTCCGACGTTTTCTTCTTTTCCATAAACGCGAAAAGAACGCGCGGGCGAAGACCGATAAAAAGACAAAGACGCGATATGTCGAATGCATCAAATGCACGTGGAATTGTTTTCAACTTCGATGATACAACAACCCAAGAAAATTAAATTTTTTTACGTTTTTTTAAGCAAAATTGCCATAAAATTTTTTGGAGAAAAGTTGTTCGAAATGGCATAATATACGACATATATTTTGTCATTATTATATATTATTAAAAGTCCTGACCACCCACGAACCTGGGAAGCTTTCGAACTTTAAAAAACTGGCTTTGTGAACTTGGCATCCGACTTGCAGCAATATTTTTTTTCCGAAAGATCTTCGTATGTAGTTAAATGTAGTAACATTGATTTTGTTTGTAGTAGCGCAGAAAAAAAATATCGCGACTTAAAAAATGTCATCCCCCGACTTTGAAATTAATCAATTTTAAGGATTATTTCTTACAGAAAATCGTTTGTAGTGGATTGTAGTAAAATTATTCTGAATCGAGTCACGCAAGCGGATTTGAGATATCTTGAAAATTAAAAAAATTCATTTTTATATAATTGTTTAAATAATTATATCTCGCGGACGGTGCAACTACAAACGGAAATAATTCTATTACAATCCACTATAAACGATTTTCTATAAGAAACGAGACAGCAGATAATCGCTTCATCGCAGTATTATGTATTTTATAATATTAGTTCAACATATTATAGATATATGATTGTTATTGATTTTTAAAGACTGCTCATATAAATTCTAAAAAAGACTTACAAGTAGGTACATTATATTTTTTGGAAAAAAACATTTATATCACATTATATACTACGCAAAAAAATTAAAGGATCACCTAGTCCGTCCTCAAAAATAGGTAAAAATTCAGAAGAGTGTAACTTCGTCAAAAATGATTATGAGATTTTTAAAAAAGCATTTTAAAGCTTGAAATCTCTACTTTCGAAATCGGTAATTGATATTTCGATCTAATTGGTTTTTTACGTAGCTATACGAACAGAAATGGGTATCCGTCAAATCTGAAAATTTTGTATAAATTTTACAAAGGTCTATGGCGTGAACTAAAAATCGCACACAAATGCAGTTTTCAGTAGTTGAAAGAGTGAATCTTTACCTTCAATTTGCTTTTTTATTGAACGTTGTACGATTTTTTTTCAACAAGTTATTCAACGTTGAAGTAAAAATGACCCCTTTTACTTGAATGTTGAATAACTCAGTTGTGATTAAAGTGACTAAAAATTATGATTTTAATATTAACAAAAATTCCCACTTTACACAGAAATTTTGTTTAATATCTTGGTTTAGGATTAAAATAGATTTTTGTTTATTCAATTAGTAGATTTTGTTCGTTACAATAATAGGATTATAAAGTAAAAACAGAAAATATCAGCAGGAAAGACGAGAAGGTTATACTTATCGACAATAATATTACACTATGAATAACGATGATAATGTCCAATTAATTTGATTTACATATATAGGGTGTCATTCATTTCATTTCATCATTTCATTTTTGCACCGAAAATTCATTTTTACGTAAAAATAAAAATAAGAGCAAAATACAATCGCCAACGGCCTTGATCTTGACAAATGTTATCCATGTCATGATCCTGAACAATATTTAAGGGGATGCTAGAGCGACGGCCGAACTTGATCGAGATCGATAGTAGACTTTTTTAAATTCCAAATTCGATAATAGTGACACTTTCAGGCTGCTTTCCTTTTAGGAGCTTGTGTCGATTTGTATCGATTTGTGTCATCAAATGGAAAGCAGTGTCATTCATTTCTTATATTTATTATATTATATATCGTTGTGTCTCACTCAAACGCATTCATCTGTCTTTATCTAACATATTGCAACGCCATCTCTTGCAAGATCGAACAGCTACTGCTAGACACAATTATTGCTTGGTTTACCATTCCGAATCTTTGCGCTCAGCGTTCGTATATACCAGTTCGTATACGTCATTTGCAGATCGATATAAATCTTTCTTTTTAAGCTTTTAATCTTGGTTTCATAAACTCAGTATTGTTCGTGCACGTAATACGCTTATAAGAGAATGACACGAGGTGTTTTTCCCCGCTTGCTCTGAATTTTTGCCAGTAGATGAGGTATCGAAAAAAAATCGACACGTATTTTGCCGTTTGTTCAGACACTCAATAGTTCAAGAGATATTAAGCTATAAAATTGGTCGGACTAGACACTCTTAAAATTCTAGATCGCCGGGTGTCCGACCAGTTTCATAGCTTAATATCTTAAACTATTGAGTGTCCGAGCAAACGGTAAAATACGTGTTGATTTTTTTTCGATGCCCAACCTATTGGCAAAAATTCAGAGCAATCGAGGAAAAACACCTCGCATCGTTCCCTTGTTAGTGCTGCACTGTTTAGTCCATATGAACTATAAAACTTTTGTATTAAGGAACATCTACGTCAGGCTGACAGCTCTACGAATTGAAAAAATACACTGAAAAAAATTTCTGGTTGAAAATGGACGAATCAGAATTTTCTGATTAAATTTATTAGAATTCTAGTTGAGATAACAGGAATTCTGGTTGATACAATATTTCTGGTAAAATCTACTAGAATTCTCATTTTTACCAGAATAATTATATCAATCAGAATTCTAATTATCTCAACTAGAATTCTAATAGATTTAACCAGAAAATTCTGATTCGTCTATTTTCCACCAGAATTACTATTTAATCCAACTAGACCATTTTTCTCAGTGTATAAGTTTTTAATTTTTTTTTTTTGGATTTTAGTATAAAGTCTATTGCAGCACCACCAAATTTTGCGTCTATTTTAATCCTGTCAAAGGATTTTTTATTCCATTCGGTAAATTCGGGGATTTATATCGATCTGCAAAGTGACAATTTGACCACTTCAGCATCCCCTTAAAAAGTTTTAGTCGTCGGTCGGATACCTTGGGTAATGCTAATGCCGACAGCTTGTAACTTTCAAGCTTTATAACTCGAAAAGTACTTAATTAAAAAATATTTTATTATAGTGTTTTGGAAAGCTCTTAAGGTGAGCTACAAGAATATGTAATGAAAAATGGGAGGTTCCATTAAAAAAAAATTACCTTGTCCTGACCTTGATAACGCCACCCAAGATCAAACTAATGGTACCATCTTATGTCTCCCTCGAAGTCATGAAACTTTTATTCGAAACATTTTTCTCTAAAATGCACTGTTCAAGAGATATTTGAAGTCGTCATTTAAAATGGGACACCCTGTGTACATAGATACGTTAGAGACGCAATATAATACGTTTTTTTGTAGTAGTACATCGAACGGACCGTATAAAACAAGATGTAAGTATATATCAAGACAAGGAGATGAGGAGTCACGAGAGAACATGAACTTTTTTGATTATACGCACTATAAATTTTCAAGCACGCACCATTAACTCGCCGGTAGGTGAAAATCTGGCTGAATTGATGAATCCCAACACACACAGAAAGTAAATAATATTAATAAATTATTTCGCGAACTATGTTGAAAGTCGTTTCCGATGCTGTGCAATTACATGGATAATTGATAAAAGAAATTAATAGCAAAGTTTGAGAGAATAAAAAAATTCATATTCATTAAGATTCTCGTAGAAAGAGAGATTCATACTATTTCCCTGTTAAATACATAATTATAAAAATTAATCATAAAAATGATTTATTAAAAATAAATAATTAATAACAAAAGGAATAATTTTGAGTTTAAAGAATGGCCTTCGAAGTAATTACTGACCATAGCAAAATTAAATGGCAAAGATGCGATTTGTACAGACAATGCATCGTAAATGGATGAAATCACATGCAACGCACCATTAAAACGGAAACAGATAAAAAAGCGTAACTACTATATGACTGCGAAGAGTAAATTGTCGCTCAGGATACATAAAGAATCAGAAGATTGATTGTCTGACGAACAGATCGCAACCGCTTGATCGAATCGGAATGGGCGCTCTTAGTTTTGCTCTTCTCTTCACGGTTTTTCTCTATCTGTTATCATCATTGTCGGTGAGTATATTTTGCCAAATTACGTTGCTCGACGCAACATGTCGCTTTAAGTTTGATTGTATTTTTCTCAGAACGCATATAATCTTGGAAAAGTGACAACAACTGAACAATTAAACGATTTCGTCAATATTATTAAAATACCGAAAGAAATTCACAGTAATAACAGGGAAATCGAATTAGAGATTGTGGATGGCTCTATGAATCCGTTGATAGTATCAAAACCTGTAGCCTCCATAAGAGACCCAACGAAACTGAACGTAGGTTTTCAAGCTAAAGTTGAATCGAAAAATCTTCCATTAAGCCCCATTCGAGGAGACGTCTCAACGAATGTCCAGCTTGCGAATCAAGCGAAATGGTTACAAGACACACTATCAAGCGAGAGTAAAGCTTCTAAAGAATTTTCGTCGGAAGAGGAATGGATTAAAAATCCGACGAGGGGCCCTAGAGACAGGGAAGAAAAACAGAAAGAACGTGAATATTTTTACCTGTACGTTCCAGATATTAAAGATATATTAAGAGATAAGTTTACCAAGACGAGTATGCAGCTTGGATTGGATGTCGGTGTCACATCGAAGAAAGACACAGACGAGAACGCGAATAAGATCGATGGCTTGGTCATCAATAATCGCTCGAGAGAGAAGAAAAATTACATCTGGCTCTGTAAAAGATTAATCGATGGATCGTTAACGAATTTGATACAGAAACTGCGTGGCAAGGACTGCGTGAAGCTCCCGAAGAGTGAATTTTATCTTGAATCAAATACGAAGAACGTGAATTGGAAAAAGGACGACACAGTTAGACTGATAGGATTAAAAATCGGGACGAAGACTGGCAACGGAAAAGATTACAAAGACTTCGGGAGTGGAAGTAACGAAAATAAACAGCGGAGCGGAGCGATGGACATGATCGAAGCTTCAATTTTAAATACTTTGGCTAATTATGATGAATCGAGCATGAAAGCGATCGACAAACATGGAACGGATCTAAACATCAAGATGCCTTTAGTCGATGGTAGAATCGCTAATCTCTTGCGCGACGGTAAACTTTCGCTATCCGCGTCAACCGCGTTAAAAGTGTGAGAGAATGATAACTAATCTGTCTGTTAAATTTACAGCTTCGATTAATTATTTAATTTATACATATATGTATGTATGTATTTATATATATATATATATATGTATACAAAAAATAAAGACATTACTTAAACACATTTTAATTCGGAGATTCACGAGGAAAAAATACGGAAGCTGAAATATGTACGCGTTATTAAAATAGCAAAGCTTGCGTTAAGGATTAGATGTAAAAGAAATATTGAAGTTAAATAAAGTACTTAAACAAAATACTCTTGCCGGACAGTCGCAAAATTCGTTCAAACCCGAAGCATGGGACTTTAACGTACAAGACCTACCGCCCCTTTATAATTCCACATTAGCCTTTCCTGAAGAAAAAGGATTCCAGATCCGGTCTGAGATCAATTCCCTCGACTTATACTCAAGGTTGGAGCGTGTGACACGGCCGTTAAGACACAATAGATCATTTGAAACTGTTGTAGCACATAATTAATCTTAACAACAGCAGCCGCGGCGCGGATATTCGCGGCGACTGACTGACGACCTTCGTACGGATAACCAGAACAAGATCGAAATGATTTTCCGCTTTCAAGCTTCTCTATCTTATAGTGTGACGTCTTGTAATATGGTATGATGTCGACAATTTATAAATAAATTAGCAAGGATCGCAAAAAATCGCGAAAACATTACACTTGAAAATTGTTAAGAATCAATAAGTTTCTTCGAGAGTTTCTTCGACATGACGCGCATTGAATTATCGCGCATATTATACGGGGTGTCCCATTTTTGATAATGCATTAAGATTTTTCAAAAACTATGTATATAGGAAAAATGTTTCAAACAAAAGTTGTATGGTTCGGAAGAAGACATAAGAAGGTATTGATTTAACCTCGGGTGGCGTCTTCAAGGTCACTTTGAATTTTTTAAATAGGAGCTCCCATTTTTCATTACATATTCTTATAGTTTACCGATCGACTCTTAAATGCTCAGAACATGACCTGGATAACACTTGTCAAGATCAAGGTCACAGAAAGTTCCTCTCTTATTTTAATTTTTACATAAAAATGATTCTGAACAACGTTCAAGAAGTTTTAGTCAGACATCTTGGATAATGCTAATGCTAGTAAAACTGTAACTTTCAAGCCTTATAATTCGAAAAGTTTCTAATGAAAAAGAATTTTGTTATAGTATTTTGAAAAGCTCTTGAGATAAGCTACGAGACCTCTGTCCTCCCAACACGCCAAAATAAAAAAAAACGAATAGCTCAGAATAAGGAGCTATTTATGAGCTGTTGAAACAAATTTCAAAATTTGTTAATTTTTTCCAATTTTTTACGATTTTCCCAAAGTTTTTTATTTGCGGTTTGCAAACATTTTTATAAGCATCGAAAAAATATTTTTAGTATTGTTGGAACATTTCTGAGTTAAATACCGTAAAACAATCCTCGATATCATTTTTTGTTTAGTCGGAAAAAATTAATAAAGTTACTTCTAAAAAAAAAAAAAAAAAACTATTTTGCGATTATTTAAAAAATGAGAAGGGTGATAGAAAGAAAAACGGACAACGTAGTCGTTTTCAGCGCATCAAAATCTTACGGAACATCTTTCAAAGTTCAAAGCACAAGACTCCCCCCCCTAAATTTTGTCGGCCTGTGTTATTTATGACAGATATTTCAATTTAACGCCGGAACTACATTCTTTCGCTGCTATGCTTGACGGAAATGTGAAATAAAAGAGGAAAGGATGCGTGACAAACGTGAGAGCGATGCACTAACAACTCGTATTCTCAAATGCCACCGTCTCCGTCGGCAATTAATAAAGAAGGATATTAAAAAAGTGTCGATTTTCGCCACCAAGTTACATCTGTATAGACCTTGAAATATCGTTGTATGAGTCCTCAAGAAACAGGAAATAACAATAATTTGTCCGAGAAGTTTGTCTGAGAACATTGCTAGAATGGCTTAAATGAACTAAATGATTCTCATCAGCTTTGACTGTATGTTTGTGTTACTTTTACCAAATAAAAATAGCGAATAGTTCTTAAACTGATCATATTAAAGGGTTAGGTGATTTTGAATTTGTAATTGCGAAAGAATCTGTACATACAGAGTAAGAAAAAAATATGGAAACCTTGAAAATTCTGGAAAAATATAAAAGATATCGAAAAATATTTAGTGATGTAGACAGTTGAGAGCAAACGCAGTTCGAATTAGCGTATATATATTCAATAAAACTGAGTATCAAATTTATATTATTTCTTTATTAATACGAACGTTTCGACTTTTTTTTAAGTCATCTTCATTTGACATTTTTATATTTTTATATATCGAAAAATGTTTCAGATGAAAGTGGAATAATTTCGAGAGGGACGTATTTTGACGTGTTTCACGTCATTATTTTTCTAGATAGAGGCACCAAAAAGATAGGAATGCAGAAGATAACGTTCTCCCACGGATAGAGAAACTATGCCGAATTCTGTTACAAAACGGGTGCTTGCAATCGTACTCGCGCGACCGAGCGACCAATGACTTTACCTATTATTATCAAACAAGATAATGAGATAACACGGCATATCGGAATCGACAGGTGATTTTTGCTCTATTTGATTCTTAATAAATTTCTGATAATAGCATCGCATAATTCAATTCGAACTTATTGTTCAGTAAGCTTATAGTAGATGTGGAAATAAGAATAAACATGAGAATAATTTACGAGTCGAAAATTAAAGTTCGAAAATTAGATTCGTCAAGACGAAAATTACGTCCAATGAAAAAATACAGTGCGATCGATTGCGGTAGCACAAGACGCTAAATGCGGAGAATATTTTACGATCAGAAGAAGAAAGAGAGTTTAAATATTTTTATAGAAACGCAAATTGCTAAAAAATATTTTAATCTACGAAAGGGAAGTATTCGTAAAATTCGTAAAATATTACGATGTACATTACATGAAAAAATGATTCTGTTTCATAAACGAGAAAAAAATTACATATTTGTCAAGAAAAGGAGGGTAGAAATTTCCAAGATGACAAACGTTATAATATAAAATATGATCTAATTAGCGTTTTGTGGTGCAATATTATTCACATTTGATCTAACTTGGAATTAATATCATAAATAAATTGTTAAAACATAACTGACAGTGATTTTATAACGATGCGAATAAGGATTTTATTCATTTTATTTCAATATATCAATTTTTCTTTAAATCTGTTGTTATCGTAATGATTATTTTCGGGTCTTATGAAGAAAAATAGCAAAACATAGATGTAAAACGATACCCGAGCGGTGACGAAATTGTCAAACGGTTCTACCCCTCTTTTCTCAAAATTTATCAAGGAATGAAGTCGCAAGCAAATTTTGTCGCAATCAAAAGAAGGGAGTCTCCATTGTAAAATACTCCACCCCGACCTTCGTTCATGTTGATTTTATCCGCGGTACGGCTAAAATTTTGTGAATTGAGACGAGCCTGGCACAGCCTAGGCTTCGCGAGACAATTCGCGAAAATTGCAAAATTAAGCGTGTAAATACGCGCGTGCGGGACACCGCGTAGGCAGACCTTCCCTGCCTACATACGCACGGTCGGTTTATTCGCCATCGTCCCACGGCGTTCAGTCGTCTGGACAATTTTATGTAACACGATTCGCGTAATCGCGATCCTCCTTCGCCGGCGGCGTAAAAGAGGATACGGCCTCAAAGATGGCCTCTCCCCGCCGCTGTCAAATTCGCGGCGCCATGGAAAGCGTCGAGACGAAACACGAGACACCAGTGTCCCGCCCGCCTCAAAAAAAATCTCAGGTTAATTAACAATTCAAACGGTACTCACGACAATGAGCGCGATGGTGTTAGAGGAGCCTGCGTGCGACGCGCGAAACCCAGCGAGGTCGAGCGAGTCTCACCACCTGACGTGATATCGGACGAGCACTATCCAGCACGCGTCACTTCTTGCGTGCACTGCACCGTTTACGGAAAGGGTTTTGTGCGTTGCGTTTGTCACGAGCGTAAACGTGAACGCAAACACGAGGTCGTTCGAGACGCGCGTCGTCGCGCCCGGGAGAAACGCGGTTACCACCTACGCTGTAAACAGCCGTACATTGGCTGAATCGGAACACGGCGTGAGTTTGATCGACCACGATCAGTTGTCGTAAACACTGGTCGCCATGCTGCCAAGGCACCTGTCAATACGCCCGCGGCGCGCACCATCTTGCGTACGACCGTTGGTATCGCGCTGGTGCCTGTAGATGGCATGTATTATCCATGTCGCAAGACTAGTGAGATGCATTATCGGTTAAGCGATGCTGGTACAACGGCCGATCATATAGAGAAAAAAATTGTAATTTTGCAGCAATCTAAAACATATAAAATATTATCCAGATAACAAAATACTTTTACGATATTGGTACGGTGAGCGTACAGCATACTATTAGGGCTGCCGCAGATAAAATTCCGTAACAGTATGCGTAAGGTGTAAACCTAAGCCGATGAGCCAATCAGGATATTGCTTTAGGTCTACGTAATCTAACGGAAATGGAAATAACAGTAAACTTATCCATAACCTCACAATAAGGCGAATTTCAATTGCCGGTTGAAACTCGCCTAAAGCTGGTTCTACATTAGTCGCATCGCAGCGTCGCAAGTGTTGCGGTCCAATCAACGTCAAGCTAGCTCGACTCTGATTGGACCGCAACGCTTGCGACACGTTTGCATGCTGCGATGCGATCAATGGGTGCGTTCAGCAGAACGTTTGTTTTGCAACTGTTGGAAGTTTCCTCCGCGCTGATTGGATCATACTTTTAGATCTAGAAGAATGGTCCTATCTCAGTAGACAATCGGGTGCGTTCAGCAGAACGTTTGTTTTGCAACTGTTGTAAGTTTCCTTCGCGCTAATTGGATCATACTTTTAGATCTAGAAGAATGGTCCTATCTCAGCAGACAATCATAAAACGGTTGCAAAACTGTTGAGTCTGCTGAACGCAGCCAATCATAAAACGGTTGCAAAACTGTTGAGTCTGCTGAACGCAGCCAATGTAGAACCAGTTTT